GGCGTGTATTAATTCAGAATGTAATTAAATTCAATGTTTAAGGTTTTTTTTTCAGTCTCTCCAGTCAGCTAATAGTATAATGCATGTCTTCTGAGAAGAGCAATCCAATGGGATCCTTCTTTAGCCTTTCTCTAGCTATGATGGCTGTGACGTCACGGTCCTTGTTTAGGCAGTGTGGGTTGGTGTCAGTCCTCTGCATGATTACTATTGGCAGAGGATACCCAATAATTAAGTCTTTGAGCAAAATTACAAGTGATTTCTAAGCGAATGGAAATAAATTTGGTGCTTTCCGGCTCCATTGGATCTTCAGCAGGTTAGTTGAATCCCTTCCCTGCATCCAATTACTGTATTTCTGGCTGAGACAAATGACTTTGGACTATATATATATATGGTAGACGCAGAAATGGAGGCTGTATGTTGGGGTTTTAGAGAGGGGCCAATAGGCAGGGGTTGAGGGCTTGGCACCAGATAATTTTTTTGGCTGCTGGTAAGAGTTTTTGTTAGATATACAATAGATTGCATAATCATTGGTACATAATAACCTTGGGTAAAAGGGTAAGGGGCAGAATGTATGAGACACATTGATGACGCAGTTTTGCAATCCAGTGGAGTTGCTTGCATGTATATAAATTTGGTCTGAGGTGTGCTGGAAGGTTGGGTCTTTCTACTGCATGGGGTGATAGAATGGAGGTTGAACGTGTTGGAAGGATGGGTTTGGGCACTGCAATTGGTGACAAGAAGGGTGGGGGTGAAGCTATAGACCCTCCTCCAGATATGCAGCAGTCATGCAGACACCCTCAATACCCAACACCCTCCTCCACAGAGAAAAAAAAATCCCAATCTCCACTTGCTGGATGAATGTTTTAGCTGTAGATAGACTGTCGGTGCCCAGCACAAAGCTAACACTCTATTCTTCCCCCTCCCTCCATGTGTCACTCACCTTCCACAGGATCTTCACTGGGCTGATCTTCCACTGAGAGGTCAAGGGAAGGGACACTAAGAAGACCAACCGATTACAGACCCCCTTGCCCTGTTACTGGACCAGTCAAAGGAAGAAGTTAGAGGTGGTGGTCATCATGGCGATATGTAGGAGCTTCTAATTACCTTTGCAGAAGGTGTCATGCTGAAGGAGGCTCGGGGGTGGAGAAGAGCCAGTCTACACAAGTGGAGGTAACAGTCGTCATCCAGGCGCCAGCTGCATACCATAGAGGAAGTCTATCTGATTCTTGTGGGGAGAGAGGATCTTGAAGAGCCAACATGGCTACCTTGATCAGGAGCAAACTGTCCAATGTGGCCACCTCGGTATCAAACAAGTCCCAGGCAAAGGTTAGCGGGATGTTTGCCAGGATGGGCTTCCAGGCGGCCACTAATGAAGAGGCTGTTGGCTTTGCCCATTGCGATGACCTGGACATGGACCACAGGCAAGGTCTTCAAATGGACATCCTGAAGACCGAGGTCCCAACAGGCGATGTCCCTGCAGAAGGTGACATCCACTACCAAAGAGATGGCACTGGACCTCCTCCATCCGACTCTAAAGATGATGGTATGTGCTCAGAATTATCTACAGCTGAAAAGCCTAAAATAACAGTCTGGGAGGCCGGATGGAATGTCACCAACGCCATCCAGGTAAGACCTTCAAGTTTACTGCTATATGTAGATCTCCAATGACCAGGGACCATTCCTTGTACCTCCTTGTTCTTGCATTGGTCACTCATCACAATCGCCATTGTCCTTTCCATGGTGAGATGACACAATCTGACGAGGACATTTGCCAAGGTCAACATTTTTTATCCCTTGGGAATCCTTTAGCTCCTAGCAAAACACTGTGTGTCCTTCCTTTCCTTATAAAACAATCAATCCTTAGGCAACACAACGTTTATTCGTATATCTGTCAGTCCTCAAGAAGGGTATTAATTAACCCAACATTTGTCCCTCAAGAGCTTTGGTAGCTTCTACATTTTGATATTGCTCACTATCACTAAGGACATAACCCTTTATTGTACAGAATATCTTCTACTCCCTCTGTTCCATATTCTCAGTAAAATCATTTTCTGCCCTATTATATTTATCATTTTTATATTACCGGGACCACCAAAAAATCAGATATCTTTTTTTTATTTTTTTTCACAGACACATTTTTGATAGAGGTTAAACAAAAAAACAATAAGATCATCATAAGAATCTTAAACATAAATTAAACCTATGCCATTACCCACAAAGAGCTAGGAATTGATTTTCAACTGTGAAATGAACGAATAAATAGCGAATCGTAACGAAAATCCGAAAATCTGTTTATCAGCAGACTTTTCTATGTCATGGTATTTTATTTAGTACGAACTCATTGTCCTTGGGAAGGATTTAGTAGCTGCGTATCCAGTAGTAGCTAGAAACAATTTGCATTGTGTGCACTAACTGCAATAGAAAAACATGATTATTATTATTATTATTTTTTTAATAAACGAATTTTGTTTTAACGAATTCCTTAGAAAAAAATGTCTGTCTTGGTTAATTATCGTATAATATGTTTTTCAATTCATGTAACTGTTTTTCTATCCATCATCCATCTTTTTTTCTCTATCTGTCTATTAGTTTATCTTTCTTCACCTTCGTAATCTCTTGTATTTTTATATTTTTATGAAAGCATTATTTGGTAATAATCAGGTACAATGACAATTTCAGTTAATGAATGGTAAACTAAGAACAGATACAAATGCTGCATAACACAAATGTCGGTAAGATATAATTACTGTGCCAGGGAAGGTTATGTGCCAGTTTTTAAATGCAAGGCTCACAATATTTTAACTCAGAAATCAATTGCAGACAATCACATAAGTCTAATTTTGCTGTGATGACCATGGCTTAGGGGAACAATTGCTATGCACTGCCCTTGCAGCTCATTATATAAAATAAGTAAATCTGGTTACATTCTTCATAGAGGAAAGATGGGCACGGTCAAAAGATGGCAGTCCAATTCTGCGTGCCTGTACAAACTGATTATCTGTGCATTTTCTGCTGTGGAGATGAGCGCCACCGAGTGGAATGGACAGGAATTGCAGATTGCAATAAATGAGGCCCTGCAGCACTGAGACAAGACCAAAAGGCCAACTGTCAATTATATTTTTCCCCATAGACTGGACTGGAGATTTGGAGAATTAAAGATCTTTTTTAATTGTATCTATGTTTTCAAGAAGAAACAATAACTCAGAAGCAATAACTAATTTCCAGCAGTCACAGTATCTGATCTGACTGCTACAATGAAGTTGGGCTGTTATTGGTTTCTACAATTTGCGCATTCTCATTACTCTCGGTAATGATTACTTTAATTAGGCTGTATGCATACCGCTCAACTGTCCCTGATTTGGAGGGACTGTCCCACTTTTGGAACCCTCTGTCCCTCTCTCCTCTTTGGTTGTCTCTTGTAGGGGAACTGATATGTAGACCTCTATAATAAATGCAATACTTAATGAAGAACTCCAGAGAAATGTTTTCTTAACCCTTTCAGTGGGGCTGCCCCTGCACTGTAAAGGTTAAGTGCTCGTTTTGTTCTAGATACAAAAATAAAAAAGTTATACTCACCATATCCTCCATACTGGCTTGGTCTTAGACTGGTTCTTCAAGGTTCTGCCCAACCCCCGACCCGCTGCACTACGGTGGTCTAAGGTCCTGTGAGTCATGTTCTATATACAGTGTATAGGGCTTGAGGAATTATTCATGACCATATAACTGGGGGCGTGCCAGGGGGTGTGTCCTTTGCCTTCAGACTTTGTGCTAAAGGGTATGCCTCTTTCCCATCTCAGAAAGTCTGAGATGGGAAAAAATGAGTTTAAAAATCGGATAAGGGGCAGGATTTGATTGAAACCCAAGTCTATAGGACAGGGGTGGGCAAACTCCATCCCTCCAGCTGTGGTGAAACTACAAATCCCATGATGCATCTGTCTCTTGTAGTCATGTCTGTGGCTGTGAGAATCTCGCAATGCCTCTCGGGATTTGTAGTTCTAGTTCCTCAACAGCTAGAGGGCCGGAGTTTGCCATCAATACCTATAATGTACAGCAGTTGCCCCAGAATGGTGCAGCTGAAGTTATCCCTGTGATAAGCACACCATGGATTTCTAAGGGCACACATCCTTTACAGTAAACTGTGACTGCATGGCAGCCATAAAAAATGTTTTTATTTAGCCAGAACATTATATTGAATTTTATTCAGAGGTGGATATGCATTTATATAAAAACCATGTATATAATATGGGCTATTACTGTACTGCAGTGCAAAGAGCTGCTGTGCTCCACACAATGCACCAATTCACAGCAACCAATCGAAAATGATCCCTTAGCACTAAACCGACTTGTAAGTCCCATGGGCCAGTTCACCAGCACATCAGTTCTACATCTTAGATTTAGGGCTTGCTCACACCACAAGACATGTAATAATGGACAGTAATGCATTGTATATAGGGGTTATGATGTGTTAATTGTTAATGGCACTCCAATGAACCTATGCACTGTAAGTTCACCACAGCACACCACAACACACAAACGCAATTGTTCTGTGCATTGCATTTCTGATGAACTGAGCAGGACCTATTTGTTTCATGTATTAAGGTGCATTCATAGCCAGTTTAAAATGAAGAGGCTAGCTAATGGAACAGCATCAATGCATGAAACTCTGTGTTGGTGTAGTGTGGATGGACCCTCACTTACTGAATAGGCTGGATGTCAAAGCTATCCTAAGAGCTCACAATCCAACTAATTCATCTTTTTATCTTTTTTATTTTTTTATATTGACCAGTTCAGCCCATTTTTTTAAAACTTTTGTTGAATAAGTGACAATTTCCATTTCCTATATAAATGATTATTGGAGGATATATCAGGTATGTTCCTGTTCAAAAATACTATATAGACTTGGCTTGTTAAGATAAGGGGGCGTGATTTACTAAAGGCGAATAGGCAGTTCGCTTAGCAAGGGAATTTGCTCTTAACTTAGTGAATGAGGAGAAGAAGTTATGCTGAATGTGATCACCTATTTATGTGCAAGCAAAGATACAGTTTTTTTTTCTTCATGAATGTTCTTTGCAAAATGAAATTTCAGCCCATTCATCAAGCAGGGAGATTTCCTCTGCAAAGTGCAAATTCCCTTGCAAAGTGAACAGCCTATTTGCCTTCTTGTAAATCAACCCCAAGGCGTTATAAAATGAGTGACAATGGGGTTGATTTAATAAAAGCAAATAGGCTGTACACTTTCAAGTGAATTTGCCCTTTGCAGGGGAAGTTTCCCTCACCTTGGTAAATGTGGTGAAAATTCACTTTGCAAAGAATATCCAATTATGTGCAAGGGGAATTAACAAAAAAATTGTTTTGCTTGCAAATGACTGGATGATTATAGTCAGCAGAGCTTCTCCTCATTCACTAAGCTAAGTTCCATTACAAATTCCATTGCAAAGTGAACAGCCTATCTGCTTTTAGTAAATCAAGCTCAATGCATTTTATTTATGTGAGTCAACTGCTCATATTATTTTACCTCTGGCTTTTCTATGTCATCAAACGTTGCAAAGTACCAGGGCTTCATTTTTACTTGCAGACATTTACTAAAAAAAAACACATTCCTAGCTATGGTGTTTAAATATTGTATCCCACAGCTACTGTGGGTTATGTAGATGTATTGCTGATATGTATCACTACATTTCAGAAGGAAATATTTCATATGATGTCACTTCCTCAGCAGACATTAGGGCTGTTACAGTTGACCATAGGTGGTAGGAGACCATTAGAAAGATCTAGGAAAATAAAAATAATAATAATAATATACAAATAATATAAAAAAATAATAATAATAAACTAAATAAATACATATATATTAGAGATGCACCAATACTAGTATCGTATCGGTTAGTGGTGCCGATGCCGAGTATTTGTGCGAGTATTCGGGCGAGTACTAGTACTCGCCCAAATGCTCCGATGCCTAGCCCAATACCCGAGCATCCGGTATTAGGGAGCCGGGCAGCGAGTCATTACATGCTGCCTGGCTTCCTGATTGGCCGGGAAGCTGGCTCCATGCTCCCTCGTCACTTGAAGCCGGGTAGAGTGCAATGACTCGCTGCCCGGTTTCCTGATTGGCCGGGAAGCCGGCTTCATGCTCCCTCGTCACCTTGTGATGAGAGAGCATTGAGCTGGCTTGCCGGCCAATCAGGAAGCCGGGCACCACGTCAGTACACGGCATCCGGCTTCCTGATTGGCCAGAAAGCCGGCTCCATGCTTTCCCGTCATCTCGTGACGAGAAGCATGGAGACACTGCCTAGCTAATCAGGAAGCCAGGTGGCGAGTCATTACACCCCGCCTGGCTTCCTTAATGGGACTTCCAGTATCGGTACTCGGTATTGGTGAGTACCGGGGAAAAAAATATCGGTACTCGATACTGAAAAAACGGTATCGGTGCATGCCTAATATGTAAATATTCATATATATTCATCTATAGATAGATAGACAGATAGATAGCACTGACATTTTTTGCAGAGCTGTACAGAGATCACTGAACCATCTACATCATTCCCTTCCAAACTTGCATTCTGATGGCCCTACCACAAGCATACACACAGTAGGATCCATTAAGTAGAAGCTATTCTACCGGCTAT